ATGGCGTTAGAGTGTGAACTCGTTTAATATCTAATTTAATTGAAATGAATGATGGGTGTATCATGTATATGATTATGGTGCAGTGATCAGTAGGATCGTGTATCCCCGAGTGGTGGGATGTGTTTATGTCTGGTGTTGTGGTATGAATTCGTGTACTATCTGGTTGATTTATATGGTGTTGGCGTAATATATCTATACATATATGCATTGATGTATGATGATATGATCAGGAGGATCGTGTGCACCTTGAGTGCCTAATTGTGATAGTATGCATTGGTGTGTGCATATCATGGTGTTTTGGTGGGATGAATCATGTCTCAAGAGGAGCGTAAGTGATTCATCCGTACTCCTTTGTGGAGAATGGTGGGGGATAGATCATGTCTCAGGAGGAGCGTAAGTGATCTATCCAGGTTCGATTGAATGAACCAATGAGTCGGTACCGCATGCATGGAGTTGAGTTGCATATTTGCATTATAATATGTTATATTGTAATTTGAACAGTAGGTTCGTTATATGGAGTTGTTGGGGTGAATATTGGTGTGTTGGTGTATTTTACTACCTTGTTTACATGTATTACATTACCATTATATTCTGATCATTATTTCTCACCCCTTTGTTGTTGTTGTGGTCTGTGCTTCTTCGGAAGTACAGATAATCCAGGTGCTTAGCTAACTTGGATGGTGGTGTGACAGTCGAGTCGTAGGATGCTCTGATACGTAACACGGGATATGGGTGTTTTAACTGTTTCATGTCAAACTTATTGTAATCCTGTGACGTATCATGAATTTGATGTATTTTATTTTATTAAACAAATTCCGCTGTATTATTTTGAAAAGAATGAATAAAGTATTTTTATAAAATTTGGAGATGTGATATCCCACTTTTTGGTGAAAACTCTGATTATTATTATAATATTTATATTTTATTTAATACGGGGAAGTGGGGTGTTACACCACACCCATGAAAGTTATATGAAAAAATAATCATGGTACCCTAATTTCAGACACCTTCTTACCTTCAAAGATCCTTCGATCCCATATCTCCATTTCTCTAATAATGCCTTCAAAAGCCTTGTCATCTTTGTCCCATTTGATCCCCAATTCTTTGATCGATTGCCAGATTTTCCCGGAACATCATCTAATGATTTTATGATCCTAACATTACCCTGATTAACATCTATGTCGGATATGGATTCACAACAGAGGATTAAGCCACAAGAATACCTAAAAGATGTCTCCTCCACCAAATTTGAATTAGGGATAGTATCCAGAAAGGCCTTGACATCATCACAGTTTGGGATCGTTTTATGTGCTGAGTGCAACATATTTGTGAAGTAGGAGGGGGCAAAATGGGATCTTAATATTTTCATAAAGATCAATGAGTAATTTTTTCTTTCTTGGAATAGGCCCAAAGCGAGGTCCACCAAGTCTAACTGTTGAACAAGAGATAGGGTCTGATATAATTCTTTCCAGGCCCACAATACACTCAGTCATATTGTCCTTATCAGGGGGAACAACTTTGTCCATTTCCAACACACGTGTGGTTTACACGACATACTTGTGTCCCATCAGCGTAATGTCTGCATCTACAACATTAATTCTTGCATTTGTTCCCACATTCTTATTATTTGTGTTGTCATCCATAATTGCTCCAAGAAACACCTTTTTTCCACCTATCTCATAAATAGGAGCCTCTTTGGCGTTGACCTATAGCTCTACACTCCCAACTGATTTGACATTATCCGCCGTATTTTATTTCTCCAAAACAATGGGGTTCCCACTATCAAAGTTATCACCTGACCATCCTTGGCTTTCATGCCCTTCATCCTCCATATCACCACCACCGTATGAATCATTAGACTCACCATCTTCATCTTCTGTTTCTCCTACTTCTGACTCACTTTCCGATCTAGGAACCTCATGCACCATTATTCTTTTTGGACCATGGAAATCTTCCAACAGCTTAATTCTATAAATTTTTTCATTTATTTCCACATTGAAAATTTCATTAAGATTCATGGAAAACTTGGTCTTGATTAAGAATCTTGCAACATCTAAGTGTTTTTGCATTTCTGTTTCCTCGTCACATTGAATAAATTCGCCCACTCGACCAGACATGAATTTGAAAAATTTAGAACACCAAGCATGACAAGGTAGTATGAAACATGTGATCCAAGTTAACTGTTCATTATTAGTATCCTCAGGGGACCAAGGGTGTATGTTACAAAACCAACGGGGAATCCATTCTTCCTCCTTCTGAATCAAAGACCTCAATGAGCCCTCTAAGCTTTCTTCAAGAAGACACAGGTTTGCACCAAGTGGGGTAGATTTAATATGAAAGAATCCTTATGCATTTAGTGTTTCATGTATATTGTACGTAGATCATGATTTTATCACCTCACCAATGAAAGCCCTCTCAAATCTCTCCATCTTGAATTTGTCTACATTGAACTGCAAATGGGAAAAACTTGGGTTGTCTTCTGTTTTTTCCTCAATCTTGACATATTCTTGTTGCCTTTAGACCTTCTATCTTTTCTCTTCTATCCTTTTTAATCACTTGCGCAAAAGATCTACCATGAACATTAGCTTTCATGTTAGATATCACCGATCTATCCGCGCCACCCTATGCTTTTCTATCCAGTCCTTTGGTAGGAATGCTCTTTAGCAACCCTCCTATATTAAACCTAGAAACATTTGCAAATATTTTTCTTCCTTCTATCTGTATACTATCAAGCTTAGTCGCCTTTAGTATTTCATCCTGCACCTTTCTAAACCTAATGAAACTGTAATGCTTTCCCCTCTTATCCCTCCTTGCAGGGATAAAGACCTCCATGACAATGCCAAATTCCTTAAAAATATCAGCCATATCCTTCGCCCCATTTTCTCAAGGAATTCAGTAAAGAAGAAGGAAGAAATATTTTCAGTGTCCACCACATCTTTGCCTCTTCTTTTTGACCAAACTGAAGCAGGAATCATGGTGCCCCGATGATTTCTTCTGTGCACTTCCACCCAATCCACGACCATGTTGCAATGAACCAATAATCCAACAGAATGATCCCTAATCCTAAGATTAGGATTTTAAACCACCTACTAGGTTCATCGATCCTGATGCTGATGATTGTTCTTGAATATTTTGTGTTTGCTTGTTATTCAAATCTTCTTTGATTCACCTACTTACCTACTTAATTAAGCATGCTTATAATACTTAATATTAAAATATAGACACAATCCGACCGTGAAGAATATTGCATTCCGTTTCTTCCAAAAACTTCTATTGAACTCAGTTTAAAAAAAAAAGACCAGATTTTCTTAAAATCAGTTTATTTTGATTGCAGACAAATTTCTTGTAGTGGACCTGAGTAGATAAAAAAAAGACCTAACACTCAAAGTGGAACACTTAATCCTTTTTTTTTAAAACTCTAAATTGCAGCTAAAATTAATACCAGAAGTTTTTAGTGTGATTGTTTTTGTCCCCAGACGGAGTTAGAAAATTTAAACTGTGGGGGCAAATAAATTATATATATATATATATATATATATATATATATATATATATATATATATATATATATATATATATATATATATATATATATATATATATATATATATATATATATATATATATATATATATATATATATATATATATATATATATATATATATATATATATATATATATATATATATATATATATATATATATATATATATATATATATATATATATATATATATATATATATATATATATATATATATATATATATATATATATATATATATATATATATATATATATATATATATATATATATATATATATATATATATATATTTGTGATATTAAGTATATATAACAATTCATTCTTTAAATAATAAATATAAATATAAATATAAATATTCTTTTTAATTTTTATATTTTAAAAATAATTAATATTGTCTTTTAACTTTAAATATCAATAAATTAACAAAATTGCAAACATCATTCTAGTGTCTCTATTTTGGTGCCTCTTTTATTAATAATTCTATGAACTAAATTGATTGATAAAATGATATTTAATAATTTAATAGACTATCTAAACATAGATTTAAAGACCAAAATAATTAATAAAAATTTTTTGTCGTTGTGTTTATAACTTCAATCCATTTAATAACTAAACAACATTCCATTAGTATACATTTACAATTAAAATGATTATTATTATTTTATTTTATTTTGGTAGTGTGAGCAATTTAACAATTAATTGCATTCTCTCTTTATGAGTAATTTTTTTAATTATATAAGATAAACCTGTCTCCCAAGTTTAGTGGGGGTTCATCCTACACAATGGACAAGCTAGCTCCGTCTACACATCAAATTTATTTCATAATGTGATTTCATAATATGATTGAATATTTTAATTTATCTGACATATCTATCTAAAAGGATATTAAATCTATATATTTATAGCAAGTACTCCACCATCTTAAGCCTGCGTACCATCCCTTCATTCTTGAATTCATTTTTTAGTAAAAAAAAATAGATATGGTTAGACTTGATACATTTTGACGTCATGACATACTTAGCCAATGAACTCATTGTAAAAATTGATGCATAAAATTACGTTCCTTCAAGAAAAAGAAAACACATTCAAAGAAGTCCAACCAGCACAACAATGAATTGTCAATAAATAAATTTGGTTGCTTTTGAACTCATATTTCATTAGTGCCACAATACTGTATTGGTGTTGTTGGGGACTTGGGGTTGCCTCTTGCTTCCTCTCAATTTTGATTAATGAATATTTTTGCTTATAAAAAAAATGAATTGTCAATAAATAAATTTATTCATACCAAACTTTAAGGTTGTTCAATCTTGGGTGCAACAAAAACAACCAATCTCAACACCTTCTTTTCCTCTATGGTTTAACCACTTTGTTAAAATTCAAATCTTTTGTCTATAAAATCATTTTGCAGAAACTATTTTTTCACTTCAATATTTTCACATCCCTTCTTCTCAATGCGGAATTCCAAAGTTCAACCTATTAAATTATCGAACCATTCTAATGCAAATTCTTCTATCGACACCTCCCTTCAACTCCAAGTGACACCAAACTTGCAGCTTGGTCATGGATCATGGTCTCTTCGTGGTCGCGAATTTTGGTATGCAAGGCGAGCATTTCTGAATAGTTACCATTTCAATTTGGAAAGAGAGAATGTTGGTTTCAAGGAGAAGCTGAAAAGGTCAGTGAGGGAGGTCAATGAAGCTGCCATGAACATTGTTTTGGATATGCATAGAGGGGTGCAGAAGAGAAGGCTTGGGATTAGGGCTTATAGAGTCACAGTGTCTTTGCCATCTATGTTTCTTGTTACCATGAGATGTTTTATGCCATGGTTTAATAAAAAGGAGATTATGTAATGTAAGACATAGTAAAAAAGTGATTATATTGTATGGGATTGGACGAGATAAATTATAGATCAAGCATTTTTTTTTTAAAGATTAACAAAAATTAGGACTATTTGTAATCTATATCTTATTAAAAGTTAGCGTGTTTAATCTCAACAAAATGATTTCTATAACTCGTTTTATTTATTGTTATAATCTGTCTGAGTAAAATACTTTATACGGACAGTATATCATAAATAATATTTTAAACGTGATCAAAATAAAAGTAAAACATTAAGGACTTTGATTATTAATTAATTATCTTTTAAAAAAATAGAAAATTACAAAATCAATTATCCATAATTTGAATTTGTATATTCAGAATCTGTGTTTTTTATTTCTTTCAAAAATTGTACTTATATAACGTATAAGGATCATCTCCAGCTTTTTTCATTCAGCCATCATTATTAAATCTAATGGCTGAGAAAAATTAATTGGTACAATTAATTGAAAGAGAGAGAGAAACAAAATGTATATTTAATGGTTAGAATTAGAGTTGCACACACAACAGGAGAGGATCCTGGTCCTTATATAACAAACTTTGTTTATTAAAAAGGAAGATTAACATTACTTTGTTTATTAAAAAGGAAGATTAACATTTGAAATTACATCACTACTATGGAAAGTGATGAACCACTACTATGTAAACTTGTTTTTCACTACAGGCGTGTGATTTGTAATGATAAATTAGGTAGCGCATCACTTATCACAACAATTATCTTAAACAATATTTGTGATATATATAAAGGTCATGAGTTCGAAACCCAACAACAACAATTTAATTAAAGCACCTAAAAAATTAACATTTCACCACAAAGAGTATTAACACAACAATGGTGTTGAATAGAGTGATGACAGTTAAGAAGAGATGAGAAATATATTTTGTATTATTTCTTAGAATGATCTCATATCTACAACAATAGCAGAACATACCTATATATGTAAAAGCTACAAAACACTTGGCAGTACATTATTGGACAGCTAATACAAGTCTATATAGAGTTTAACTATTCATAACACTTTGCCTTAATTCAAAATTGTTACAAAGACACAACATTCATCATCTTTCTCAATTTTTTTGAATCTTTCACTCTTCAATGGCTTGGTCAAAATATCTGTCAGTTGTAGCTCAGTTATGCAATGTTGAAGCTTGATCCTTTCCTTGCTTACTTGATCTCTATGAAAATGGAATTTGGTGTGGATATGTTTACTCCTGCCATGTGACACAGTATTCTAGGCCAAGTCAATTGCTAACTTGTTGTCTACCAATAAATCCACTGCTTCCTCATTCCATAACTTCAATTCCTTGAGTAGTGCAGACCATAAAACTTGACAAGCAGCTGAGCAAGCTATATATTCGGCTTCACAGATTGAAAGTGCTACCACAATTTGCTTCTTGGAACTCCAAAATATGGGGGAACCTGCAAGCAAAAAAACTTGTCTCATGGTACTTCTTCTATCGACCATACCACCACACTAGTCAGAATCAGAGTAGGCTACAAGGAGTACACTATTGTCTACTACATTGTGACAGGGAAACAAAATGCCATGGATCAGGGTTCCTCTCAAGTACCTCATGACTCTCTTAGCTGCCATCATGTATGAGTGTCTAGGAGCACTTATAAATCTTCTAACCAAACCCACACTGAAGGTTATTTTAGGTCTGCTAGGGCATATGTATCTTAGACTTCCAACCATTTGTCTAAACAATGTGTCATCAACATGCCCTTCATCTTCACTCTTTGTTAGCTTCACATTCAGTTCATGTGGCATTTCTACTGACTTGCATCCCAACATCTTGAATTTCTTCAAGACTTCTAGAATGTACGTCTTTTAATGCATAAAAATACTATTTTCTGAGTACACAAATTTAAATTCCAAAAAGTAAGATAATGCACCCAAATTAGTAATTTCAAACTCACTTTTCAGCTTCCTTTTAATCAACTCTATGACACTTTGACTTCTACTAATGATGACCAATCAGCGACATATTGTTAAGTGCGAATTTTGACATAAAATGAACCATCTTTCTTGGCACTTTTCAACTCAATTCTCATGTTTTCATAGATGTAATTCATGTTCTTCTGTGATTCTTCAATTATATTGAAAATGCCTTTGATCCCTTTGATTTGTGTGTTATTGTGCGAATTAGGCATGAAATCATCTAAATGTGAGATACAAGAAAATGGACAAGGAGGCCAAAGGAAGAGAAGAATATCAGTAAGTTAGTTGGGCGAACTTACCAGTGAATGTTCGCTTTGCGAACATCTGGCAAAGTCCCAGCGAATGCTCTCAGACTTGGGGCAGTAGCTAAAAGACCATAAGTTTGTTGTGAGAACTTTTAGGCGAGGTAGTTCACAGTGCGAAGAATCGTTCCCATAACGAACTTCAGAGATTTTCCATGGGCGGTTTAACTGTTCAGAGGCACTTCAGGTGCCTAAATTAGGATTCGCTAGGCGAAGAATCAGTTCGCAATGCGAACATGACAGATTCTGAATGTACTATATAAGTACTTTTTTTGCTTTTTAGATAGATGTATTATATTTTTCACATCAGAACTTAACTCTCTTCATTTTCAAGCTTATTTTAGAGAGAGAAACCCAGAACCGTCGGGGCCCGCCCGGACCCCCCCTGAAATTAGCGGGGAAAACCCGGTTTGAGTGGGTACGGGTGCGGGTGCGGGTAAAACCCGACTTCTAATTACGGGTGCGGGGAGACACTAAGACCCGCTCGCACCCGGCCCCTCCCCGGCCCCGAATAATGCATTTTAGTTTAATTCTCTTATTTTACTTATTTTAATATTCATTTATTAATTATATTTTTAATTAAATTATTAATACCTTTATTGCAATTAAAATAATTAAATTAATCAAATTAATATTCATTTACTAATTAATATTTTAATTAAATAATTAATTAATTTATTAAAATAATCAATTTTTTAATTAAATTATTATTTTTTTATTGCAATTAAAAAGAAATTAATCTTTTTCGGGTGGGGGCGGGGCGGGTGCGGGTGCACCCGTTCTCTACTGGGGTCGGGTCTGGGCGGTAAACTTTTACCCCCGATTGGGTTTGGGGGCGGGTGCGGGTGTGTTACATAGAGGCGGGTGCGGGTGCGGGTATAGTAAAACCCGCCCCCGACCCGCCCCGTTGCCATCCCTATTATGAACTAGTTTTGATTCTCTATTGTTGATTGTCTTTGATTGCTTATTTGTGGGTCTTGACAAAACTCATTTCAAATCTTTGATCTTAGATTTTCATCTATCAATTAGAAAACTTTTGGCATGGTTTTGTAAGTTGATATTCACTTGTATCTTCTATTTTATTGTGTTGGTTAGTAGCATGAGTAATATGATTAGGATCAATATGCTATTGTGAGGACGCGTGATAATAGTGATTAAGAACGATGTTCACATTCATTTGGCAGATTAGTTGAATGCATGTAAAAAGGGTTAAGCGCATGTATGTATTCTAATCATTGCATTTAATATGAAGCAGTCATTTATCTGATATGGGTGTCATTTTTGTCTACCTGTTTATCTTTGATTTGAACCGTTATAGACATATACTCTTCAAATATGGGTGATACCTGTTTATCTTCTATTTTTGTCTACCTGTATATCTTTGTATTCTAATCATCACCAATGAGATATTTTGACATAAAATGAAACATCTTTCTTAGCATTTTTCAACTCAATTTTTATGTTTTCATAGATGTAATTCATGTTCTTGTGTCATTCTTCAATTATATTGAAAATGCCTTTGGTACCTTTGATTTGTGTGTTATTGTGCAGAATTAGGCATGAAATAATCTAAGTGTGAGACACAAGAAAATGGACAAGGAGGCCAAAGGAAGAGAAGAATATTAGTAAGTTCATTGGGCAAACATACCAGCGAATGTCCGCTTTACGAACATATGACGAAGTCCCAACGAATGCTCCCAGACTTGAGGCAGTAGCTAAAGGACCATAAGTTCACTGTGCAAACTTGTAGGTGAGGTAGTTCGCAGTGTAAAAAATCATTCGCACAACAAACTTCATAGATTTCTCAGGGGCAGTTTAACTGTTCAAAGGCACTTCAGGTGCCTAAATTGGGATTCGTTCGGCGAAGGATCAGTTCGCAGTGTGAACATGACAGATTCTGAATGTACTATATAAGTACTTTTCTTGATTTTTAGATAGATATATTATATTTTTCACATTAGAACTTATCTCTCTTCATTTTCAAGCTTATTTTAGAGAGATAAATACAAACCCTAAGAGGGAGAAGGTATAATCTTTGATCTCTTGTTGGGGTTTGTATGTAATCTTTTGATACCTTATATACTTCATCTAATGTATGTTTGTGAACGAGTTTTAATTCTCTATTGTTGATTGTCTTTGATTGCTTATTTGTGGGTCTTGACAAAACTCATTTCAAATCCTTGATCTTAGATTTTTATCTATCAATTAGAAAACTTTTGACATGGTTTTGTAAGTTGATATTCACTTGTATCTTCTATTTTATTGTGTTGGTTAGTAGCATGAGTAGGATCAATATGGTATTGTGAGGATGCGTGATAATACTGATTAAGAACGATGTTCACATTCATTTGGAAGATTAGTTGAATGCATGTAAAAAGGGTTAAGCGTATGTACGTATTCTAATTATTAAGTTTAATATGAAGCAGTCATTTATCTGATATGGGTGTCATCTTTTTCTACCTGTTTATCATTGATTTGAACTGCTTTAGACATATACTCTTCAGATCTGGATCTAGGATGATTACCTGTTAGGTTCTAAACTCTAGATATAGTTTTAGGCTTAGCATTTGCGTGAGTATCATTTCTTAATGCTCTATGTTTGTTTTGTTGCGTGCGACATCACCAATGAGATAATACGATTGTTTTCTCGACGTTCCGTTAGATATAACCTCAATTATGGGTGATACGCGAGGATATTAGACGATTTATTGAGTTGTGTTTAACATG